CCTTTCTACCCCTAAGAGTTACAGTCCCAGAAACCCACAGTGGCAGTTCTACTCCATCCTATAGGGTCACTATAAATCAGAATGCACTTGATGGCTGTGGTAGTTACATAATCTGTTGTTAATTTGAGAATTAAGAGTGAAGGGGTGGGGTCTAGCCTGTCAATCAGGTCATAGCCAATGAGGCCTCTGTGTGGGCATGGCATTCTCCTGAGGATTCTGGGAATCCCTGTAATTCCTCCCTGGAGGCTGAAGAAACACACACTCTCTCTCTGCTCACTCCCTGGGAGACATTACAGCTGACAAGATACATGGAACTACTATAGTGCTCTGAGCTGGAGCAGCCACGAGGAGATCCCTGCCAGCACTGAGATGCTTACAACGCCACTGGATCCACATGATTTCCCACCTACTGGCCTGTGATCTTTCTGTATTCGATGTCATTGCATGTGTTTGTATCAGACATATGGGCTGAGACCAGACTTATGGACTTGATCTGGAGTGGGCTGGGATGTTTTCTCAATATTCAATTGCTCATGTATATACTGTAAAGCTCTTTCTTATACACATAATGGAAGTCTCTGGATTTGTTTCTGTAGTCCACCGAACAAACACAATGACAGTGAGTGATAGGGCCTGCAGGTGGGACATTCCCCACCCCTGCCCTAGTATAATTAGCCTTCCCTTTACTCTGGTGCCTCATCTATAAAATGCAGATAATACAGTATCTATCTCATAGAACAGTGACCTGCTAGAATTATGCTACGAGGGCTTGCTACAGGGCTGCTATGAGTTGGAATCAGCTCAATGGGAGGTTTGGTTTATCCCTTCTCACTGCCATCGAGTTAATTCCAACTCACAGCAACCTTACAGGCCAGAGTAGAACTATTCCTGTGGGTTTCTGAGGCTGTAACTCTTTACGGGAGTAGAGAGCTTCACCTTTCTTCCATGGAAGGGCTGGTGGGTTCAAAGTGCTGACCTTGACGGTAGTAGCCCAAGTTGTAAGCCACGACATGCCACCAGAGCTAAGTTTATCTCACAGGACTATTATAAACAAGATGACTGTGGCACAATTCCGTTCTATTAATTTTAATTTTCCACAAACCTTTAGAAGCCACCTGTGTTCCTGAATCTCATTTTTTCTTTGTACAGTTCTCACTTTGCATCTTTACGTCCTCTCATGAGAAAAGTTCTCATTCTATCTGGTATAGAGAAAGTAAGATCCTAGAGTAAAGCAAACCCACCAGCAGTTCCACAGAAGATGTGGCCGTTGGCTTCCATAAAGAGTACAGCCTTGGAAATGCAAAGGGGCAGTTCTACCCTGTCCAGCAGGGTCTCCAATAGCTGAACTGGCTCAACAGCATGCGTTTTTGGTATGGACTGAACTTCACACTTTGATTTTAAGATCACGATCTTAGGAAGACTCCCTTGATCTAGGAAAGGGGAAAGGAGATGTCTTTCTACCTTCAAGGCTTAGCACAGAACACGGACCACGGCAGTTTCTCAATGAAGGGATGAATAAATGACAACAAAGGCACAGTATCCAAGCTTAGAGAATCTTGGCACCACAAAGGTTGATCCTTTAGGGTTTTCTTTTTCTTTGACATTCTGCAGATCAATTTACCAAGTCTCTCCTACTGGACAACGAATAAGGGAGACCCAAGAGTCATGCTTTTAAATTACAGTATTAGTGAAGAATACTAAATACACCTTGGCCTGCCAAATGAACGGAGAAATCTCTCTTGGGGGAAGCATGATCACTTATCAGCAGAGTCCAGTCCCAAGAGATGGGCATCAATTTGATAAAGTTGAGGGTCAGAAAAAAAGAAAAAAAAAAGAGGGAAAAAAAAAAAAAGAAATCGGTAGCAGGGGCACAGGGCACTAACCCACCCAAGGGAGGGTATTGTTTATATCCACACAGGGAAAGAGGGACCAGACTTCAACCCACTGCTCCAAGATGTGAATGCAGTGGAGAGGTCTGAGGGGCTGGCCCCAGTCCCAACTGTGTGGACACCTGCTCCTCCCCCCAGAAGAATTTATTTCATAGGACAGTACTGAATCTGCAGCTCCAGGAGAGGGACATGTCTGATCAGAGCACACAAGAGCAAATGAGGGGGGAGGAAGAAAGAGTGGAGTACATTCTGGCCCACCAAGCCTTGAGGACGATATTCCCGCTCAGAGCAGCCAATCCAGAGAAGAGCACATGGCCAGCCCCACTATGAGTCACGACATCCCTCACACTGATCCACAGCCCTAGAGGGGGCAACACTGGAGACACAGTGTGGGAATTCCACCTGATCTGATCCCACCACACCAAGGCAAAACACTAAGGGTGTGCAATAGAGCAGCAAGAACAGAGCAACGAAGTCCCCAGGGAATACCAAAAATAGACTTTGGGGTCAGCGC